TGAGAAGACCATCATACCCTTATGGTAATCCCTGCATTTCAATAAGGAATGTGCACATCAATGTGAAAGGCTGTCTTGGAGAGACAGGTAGATTTTAGGATGATTGCAGGATATGAGTATTTAATGATTAAAGTAGTTTTTAATTCCTCTTCTCCCTTTCCCCTCTTTCTCTTTCTTTTCCTCCTCCTGTGATGGTTCTGAGGATCAAACTCAGGGCAAGGCGCATACTTGGCAGATGCTCTGTCGTTGACATACATGCTTAGCTCCTGCACTGTGTCCTCCTTCAATTATTTCTTATTTCAAATATCCTTACATGGTTGAAATTGATGAGTGTTATTATCTGTGCTGTGCAAATAATCCCCTTTGATATCTTGGGAAGAACTCTCTGACCTTGACCTGATCTGAATCACATTATTGTTTTATTTTCTGCCTAAAAAAATGTATTTTATATAAATTTTGGCTACTATAATATAGCCCTATGAAACATATAAGAATGAAATGGCTCATTTCCTTCTGGTAGTAAATTAAGCACAAAACGATTTTTAATTCAGAGATATTTGCATTCTTAAATGACAGCTGAAGTCATTTGTGAAAAAGTTGTTTAATGATCTAGAGAAGCATGTGCATATACATAAGCTTGGAATTTATTTTTGGTGTGGTATCTTTGCTCTTTTCCTTATGAATATTATATGTGATAGACCTTCCTGAAAGACTTAACTTCTGCGTCATTTAGCGACATTCTCTTTTGTTGGACGATTCTGGATTGGTTTGTGTGTTGTCTCTAGGACCTAAATTTGAGCACTTTCTTCTCATTTTGCTAATTCGGGACTATTCAATTCCATTTATGCCCATAAGTCTCACAGGCAGAATAGTGAAGTCAGTGCTAAATCTACATGTATTAACCCCAAGTTTTGCTGTTACTATCTTACAATGTTTTATACTTTATGTAGTGTTGCGTTAAACAACAGTGACTTTGCAAGTCATCTGCAAGATACAAACCTTTAAAAGTAAAATTTGCTAAATTTAAAACGGACTTTAAAATTTCCAAAAAGAACTTTTCTGGAATTTAATTTAGTCAGGATTCTGCATTCATAAACTTCAGTAAGTTTAGTGTATCTAAATCTTTATTGAGTTCACCAACTCATTTCTCGAAATGTCTTCAGATGGGGGGGGGGTCACACACTGTTAAGAAAATGTCAAACTGAATCTTAGTTTTCTGGGTGGCTTTTTGTCTGATGATGACCTCAGAGTCATGATGACTTTTCTGAGACTAACCATGGAAGTTCTACGAGTATGTGACTCTCCAAAGTGGTCCTATTTTCGTTGGGGATAATTTACTATGTCTGGAATCCTAACACTTGTTTCTTTTAAAGAAAGAAATAATACCAAAGATATTTTGACATTCTGCCAACAAAATTAATATGACCAACAAAAGAATGTCTTCAGACCTGGGGCTTGATCACTTTTGTTTCTGAGGTCACAGATTTGCTGAAAGAAACTTGCAAACCCATTCTCTCCTCTCTCCTCTTCCACCAGGTAAGCTTGTGCACACACATACACACACACACATACACAAACACAGACACACACACACACACACACAAAGACTCAGATATCACATACACTCACACAGACTCTCTCTTTCTCACACACACACATGCACAAACATAGACACACACAAAGACTCAGACATCACATACACTCTCACACACAGTCTCTCTCTCTCTCTCTGTCACACACACACACACACACACACACACTCACACATTTTAACAACCAGGTCCCATTTGACTAGTCACATACACAACAACTCTGGGTCACCACACCTTCCCGAGAGAAGCTGACTTCACTTTTATTCTCAGTTTATATTACCAGCAATAGCAGCAAACCTTTCAATGCCCGCAATGTTTCCTTAGGAGTGTATCAGTTGAGCAGGCAGGGAAAAAAAAATCTGGGGGAAGTTTATTATTTTTCCACCAATATATTTGGCATCACCTTTGGAAAGGGAACAAAAGGCGCACTGTCAAGAGGACAGACCTGGACAAAATGTTACTGTTTGTTCTTCGCAAGCACAGAGGTATATTTAAGCAAAGAAAGACATTCCATAGCTCTCTCGGGACTTCCTTGCTTTAGCTGAATTTATACCAGCGTGTTCACACCAGCGTGATTCAAACTGAGCTGGAATTTTAAAATGCAGGCCGCTCTTTGCCAATGCTTAAATACCACAGCTACAGAAAATCATATTAGACTTCAACTTGCCCTTAAAATGTCATAGGATATAGAGAGACAGCAATGTGTGTCCACAAGAAATTACAGTAAAGTTGTGGAAATGAGAAGTGCCCTTGTTTGACAGCTTCTGTACCTACACAACAAAGCCTTTAAGTCACCAGGAGTCACCTGGCGTCGGATTAGGTTTCTAGTCCAGGTTTGCTGACACTCAGGAAACGTTTGGCAAACAGGGGCCGAGTTTCGAGCAAGGCTAGGAAGAACACTCTGGGAGCCTGTGTGAAATTCGGTGGTCTCGGCTGGGTTTCATCTTGAGTTTCACATTCGAACAATCCAGTACTTCAAAGTAAACTAAAACAGAGGGGCACGAGGAAGAAGGGGCAAACAGGACCTGGCATGGCTCGCCGGGAAGGGGTCAACAGTCTCCTGTCTGGAAAACTCATTTCTTCCTGATGCCCTTGACTGTGCATCTGTACTAACAGCACTGCTGCAGACTCCAGGAAGACAGCTGTACCTGACACTGCTCCCAAGCCTTCCTGCTGCTCAAAGGGACCATCCCTGATCCTCAGAGGTCCTTGAAAGCAGTGAAGCCCTCGCTCACAGTAACAAGGGGATTCACAAATTGACCAATTCCAGAAATAAGACGGTTGATGTGTTCATTATAGGGGACTCACAAGTTCACCAATCACAGAAATAAGATGATTGATATGTTCATTCTAATGTAGAGACCGAGAGGCCGCATAGCATAGCAAGGCAATGATGCTGACTCTTTTCCAGGCTTTCCTGCTATAGTCCACACGCCGGAGGGGAGAACTCCATGTACTTCTGCTTGAGGAGGAGCATTCCTGGAACATTCTCCCTTCCTCTGCCCCATCAAGTCCCCTGTGGTGGCTATTGGCTTCGTCTCCTTACAAGGGTCACAGAGCAGACTGCATCAGTCCCTTAGAGTCACAGTCTGAGATCTCACAGCCTCTTCCTGACTATTAGGAGCCTAGGATTAGCCTCCTAGCCTCCAACAGACAGGGACAATATTACCCAGGGTACCCAGACAGTAGCTAACAGGGGGCTTTGAAATAGTCAATGTTTTAGGGAAGAAAAGAGGAGAAAGCAAATGCACTATGTATACAGTTCTGAAAGTAAAGACAATATTTAAAACTGATTAATGGCTGGTAAAAGTGTTAAGATTCCATTCATTTCAGGAAGCACCCTTTGTTTGTTCCATTAAACTCCTCAGCCCATACATCAGAGAAATTTCACTCAAACTTTTGGCTACTGAATATTTTCTTTTTTAATTTATTTTACTTTTATTTCTTTTTAAAATTTCTTCTGTCTTTTTCTTCTGTCTTATTTTTGTTACTCAAAAGACCACTATGTTATTTAAATACTTGTTTTTCTGGTTTTTGTTTTTGTATTTAACGAAAACTCTTTTGGTAAAAAGCATCTTGAAATGCCAAAAGTTTTAGTGCTCATGCTTTCAAAAGCAACAATTAGGCCTCAAGGCACATGGTAATTTTGGGGAAGCAGAAGACTCCAGTGGGGTTTGACAGAATCTGTTCTATGAACTGCCTTGGCTACTTGCTTTTAGATATCCTGGAGCTGAGTCTTGCTAAAACCGTGGTTCTCAAACTGTGGGTCGCGACCCCTAGGGTGCAGAAGAACCCTTTCATGGGGTGGCCTAAGACCATTGGAAAGCACAGATATTTACAGTACGTTTCATAGCAATATCAAACTTATTTTTATGAAGTAGCAACGAAAATAATTTTGTGGTCGGGGTCACCACAGCATGAGGTGTGCACGAAAGGGTCACAGCGTCAGGAACGATGAGGGGCACTGTGTTAGAATAGTCATCGTGATGAGAGAGCTACGCAGGAGGACGTTTTTCTTTAAGTCGCAGGCTCCTTTAGAAATAAGAGCTAAATCATAGCAGCAGCAGAAGCTAAGCCAGTAAATTATCTGAAGGAATAACTATCAAAGCATTAAGGAAAGAAAAAAAAAAGCCTTTTTACTGAACATAGTAAATACTCACAATCAAAGTAAATGCTGTAGTTGAGGTTAAAGTCCACAGATCAAAGGGCTTTGCAAAATGTCAAGTGCAAGCATAAGGAGGGACAGGGGGGTGGGTGGGTGGGGAGCCAGATTACTAGCAAAAATGTTTACTGTCAAAAAAAAAAAAAAACCGTCGTAAAATCTACCTCGTAAGAGAGCTGAATTTCAGCATGGGGAAGGAGTTCCCAAAAAGTCAATCATCCCAAAGGACACTAGGAATTTAAAACCCAACAACAACAATAATAATGATAATAATAATAATCCAGTCTCCGAACAACTTCTCAGTCCACACCAGACGGAAATACAGCGGCTAAGAGCCGGGCATACCATAAGATAGCCACCTGGCCGTCCATCAAGAGCATTCACTAATACACTGTCTTTACTCAGGTGGGCTACATCTTGTTTAAAGAAAGTTAAAATAAGAGAGCAGTCTAAACAACGAAATGATGGTGTCTAGAGGTCCTGTCACCCCTGTGGGAGTAGCGGAACGAGAACTCAGAAGCAGAACTCAGCAGCAGGCAGGTCTGTGTGGCAGCCACTGGGGACAGAGGGCTTTAGGCAAAATTTACAAATACACTCACAAAAATATGCAATGATGCTGCTGCATCCCAGAAGCAGGGTCTACCTGGGAATCCCCCGGCCTTCTCCTATGTTCGCTAAAAAGTTACTTTAGAGACACTAGTCATGACCACCCCAGAAAAGTTATTCCCGAATAAAAAAAACCTTACCTTGAAGAGGCTGAACTTCACGGTTGCTCCAGCAGAGGAAGTGGGAGTCAGTGGCCTTTTCCCGTGTAGAGATTGTTTATTTAGCCCTTTTTAAAAAGGTCTTGACCTCCAGAGGTTTAAGATTAAGTCCAATCCAAGGGTCTGCAGGGACAAAAAGGGGGACCCGGGGGTCAGTAGAGAAAGCAACTGAGAGAAGCAAAGAGCCTCAGCTGCTGGGTGGTGCTCCCAGCCTGAGGGCATTTGAGCTATTTTCAGCATTACCAGCAGCTGGACTTGTCTGCTAAGGGCTGAGAATGCCTTGCCCAAATCACCACCCCCCGCCCTGGGGGGGTAAAACAACACAAACCAGGAAACCCACAACAACTTGGTTCATTGTGCAAATATTCATTGAAATTTTGAGGGAACCGGCAGCGCTATTGAAAACACACACACACACACACACACACACACACACACACACAGACTTGATTGAATCTTAAAGGAACACTGTATCTTGCTCCAACCCTAAAGTTTTCAAAAAGGTTTACCTGATCAGTAGAAGAAAGAAAGACGCTACGGCACACTGACCAGGGGACTTCTGATTATCTCTTGCTTGCTCACAACAGGTCTTAAGGCAACGTTTTAGGTCTCCCAGCTAAACATCAGCTACCAGCCTGTTCTTAAGACCACAGGCAAATGGTTTCTTTCTAGCGCACACCTACATGTCCACTTTAAGCCTGCTATTTTTGAAAGCTACCGGGTTAAGCCGATGACATTTCTTATCTGTTGGCTAAGACTGGGGACCATCCAATGACATGATGCAGAGAGGCTTCTGCATCCACAAACCCAGGGGTTAAAAAAAAAAAAAAAAAAAAAAGGAATAAATGACACTGGCTCGCCGTGACAGGCAAACTTAGAACTTTGATTTGGTTTTCCGAATGAATAACCACAGCTGTGTTCATGTATTCATTCAGTGAGCATGTACGTGGCCAGCTGTTCTCAGCTCACTGTAGGCTGGGAACTCTGTGAATACAAAAACGGGCAACTCAGTGTTGCCTTGGCATTTGAAGGTTTATTATACTCAGGCTGCAAGCGTAGGTGAAAACAGAACCAAGGTCTCTTTTTACCAAGGCTGAAGTAAAGGATGGTGTCCGCGGGCATCCTTGTTTCATGAGGCCTTCACTATGCCACGTGTCCTACCTTGTTTTCTATCGCTCTGATACACACCATGACCAAAAGCAACATTGCGAGAAAGAGGTTGATTTTATCTGATGGATCACAGTCCTTCATTGAGGGAAGTCAGGGCAGGAACTCAAGGCACAATCCTGAAGCCCGAAACTGAAGCATGGACTATGGAGGAGTCATGCTTACTGGCTTGCTCAGTGTAACCCAGGACCACCTTGGTCCAAGAGTGGCCCCGTCCACAGTAGGCTGGGCCTTCGCATATCAATCACTGATGAAGAAGATGCTCTCCAGGTTTGCCCATTGGCAATCTCTCAGTTAAAGTTTCCTCTTCCCAGAAGACCCTAGCTTGTGTCAAAAGACCAAGCATCACTTCCACTAGGAAGGAAAGGCGGTGGCTCTACCAAGCAAATAGCACAATATTTTTTTTAAAGCCTTGATTCAATGAAGATGAATTCCCCTGCTCTTTTGTTCCTGTATCCTACAACACAGAAACATGGGAGCAGACAGAAAGCAATGCTTTACTCAAGAGTTACAGGAAGACTCTCCTGTTGTTTTGTGCTTTGTTTGGAGACAAATATAAAACCAATTCCTTTGTTGCTTTAATGACATTGGAAATGACTTTTAAAATACTGGTTCAGTCTGGTGGAGAAAGAGGTATGGTATATGGTGAAATATTTGAGCCAAGTTCACTATATACTAAAATGATGCAAATATTCTAATTTAAAATAAACCTATGACTTAAATTTGAGGTATCTAATTATAACCTTAAATATGGTTACCTTTGATTTTAAAATATTTACCAGCTTTAAAATACCATTATAGAATACTGCATTTTTCTGTTTGATTAAATAGTCCTATTTTACCAAGTGTTACTTAACCTACTAGTTTAGAACAGACACTTGTTTTAGTTGTTGAATGATAATCCTACCAATAAAGAGTTGAGATCTATTCTCATACAAGTTTCTTAAAATTATTTTTATTTGTTTTCCCCTTACAATACTTTATTTACAAAGAGAAACATTTTTCTCAGTGTGGCTCCACGAGAAACTATAAAAGTTAATGACACAAATAAGGATTAACTATCTGACTATTAAGTCAGGTATTATTTTTAATTCCCTGCTGCCTGCTTGCCACACCAATCCCGCAGGAAACTCATGGCCTCACTCTCCTCTGCGTGGTCACGTTACCTCAGAGTCTGCACTCAGACAAAGAGGTTATGAATCTGGTCCCCGCCTCCACTTAACCTCCATCCTGTTGTCCACTGTGCCTCACTACAGTCTCTTCGCTCCCAAAGATCCTGAGCCAGGATCCAAACAGCTCCTTTCAACATATTCGATATCCCAGAGAGCAAATTAGACTTCAAGCATATGTTAATGGTACAGGAGGGTCAAGTCTGATTTTTCTATGTAACTGTTGTGATATTATCTGAACCGTGATACTGATTATAGTCATTCATATTCTCTTTTCTTTCTAAAATAAATCAGTTTAGAATAACCCATGAATGATTATATTTAAGTGAACCTCTACCTTGGTCCAGAGATGTGAGAACAAAAGGCAAAATACCTGGGCAGAGATGTGGGGTCTGTGATAGAAGGTAGGACCAAGACATGAGAGACCTGGTTAAAATTCAAAGCAGAGCCAGATGCTTCAGTAGTAATTGAATGTCTTGCCTTTTGTATAAGCACGAGACAGACTCCGGATGCTGGAATAGGAGGAATCTTTTTGATGGAGATTCGTGAACACAAAGCAGAAGCAAACATTGAAAAGGCAGATCACTTGGGCGTTTTCTTTTCTCTGTCCACGAATCTACATGGTTCTGAGACCAGTGATTTTTATTACAACAGTGCCCACTAGGTTTGGTCTACGCAAACCTAAAGGGTGTTCACACCCCAAGGGAGAATCTTGTTAACTCAAGTAACAGCCCAATTAGAACCACTGGTTAGGCAGATATATGATTGGTAAGAGGGAGAGAGTCTTTGTTTTTCTTTTCTACACCACTGCACCACCCTAAATAAACGAATAGTCCAGTTTGGAGTTTAATAACCTCATCAGCCTTTCAGACATACTCCTCACTGTTGCCAGTGGCCCCAGAGTGCTCGGTGCTCCAGAGAACTTCATAAAAATAAAGTCACACTGGAAAAGAACATCTGGGCTCACACTGGCAGCATTTAAGAGTTTCCACAGACTGGAGCTCTGTGGCAAGGTACTGGTGTACCACAGAGGTGGCTCTGGGTCCTTTCCCTAGCAAAGCAAAACAGATGGGAAGGATAAATAAGATGAAGCCACACCCCCACCTTCACTTTACTTTTCAGGTATTTTTCCTGTTGGGTTTGTTTGTTGTTGTTGTTGGTTGGTTTATGTTTTTTGTTTTGGTGGGGATACTGAAGAAAAAAAAAACTTTAAAACATGTGATGACTCCAGGCTCAATGGCTAACTTGAAATAACATGATGATTTCCAAGAATTTTTCTGTGCAACTTCTTCAGTTCATATAGTTTGAAGCTCTTAAGAGTTTTTCTCTCAGGAGAACTGAGGTTTCTCAATCGCGGCCTCCTTATACTCTATTCTTTGGGAGGATCTCGGGAGGAAGGAAGCGAGTGTAGTTTTCCCAGGAATATTGTTTTCGAGAGTTCACCTCCTTTGAAAAGTGAATTGTGCCGCGGATACCCCAAGGCTTTCGCCTTCCCAGTTCAGCGGCATTGTCTCATCCAGGAGAACAATGTTTCCTTCTCTCGGGCTAATGCTTTAGTGGTCTGAGGCAGCAAGAGCGGCCAAAGCATTGGCACGGGTTTCAAGGATGCCTTGAAAAGGATGCCAGTCAGATTTTCTTCCGTACTATAGAAATCGGATGAAACTGAGTTAAAGGAAGGCGTGCAAAAGAACATAAAATAGAGCTAAGGTTAGGCACAGTGCTTCGCTTCAGTCATCCTCATCAAAGTGAAGCGCGGGCAAGAAAAGCAGTGCTCTTTCTTAGTGTTAGCATGCAGCAAGCATCTTTCAAGCCACCCTCAGGTCTGCTGTGAAAGGAACAAGATCAGCACCCTAAGCTGGGAAACTGAGGTCCAAGACGAGGGCCTGCTCACTCACAAAGCCCTCCTCTGTACTTGCTTTCTGAGCTAAACTCTAAGACCTTACCAGCATTAGAATCTGTTTCCATTTGGGGTCGCACAAGTTCCTCCGACTCCTGTAGCTATATGAGGGCTGTCACATTGTGCTTCTTTTTCTAATTACTTCCACGGCCCGCTTGTTGATGGTCAGATGGTTTTCAGAGGATTGTTCTGTACCCATATGTAATGTTATACCCGGAGTCTGGGCTTTACCAAGGGAAGCTCAGATCTTGATGAAGGGCTAAGCAACTATTATCAGACACACAGGTTTTGTAAAAACAACTTCTTAACTTTTGTTAACTTTTCCAGTTAAAACTTTACCGATTGTAAAGTCGCTGCTTGAAGAGATGGAGAGAAGGCTCAAAGGCTAAGAGCTATCCCTGCTATGTAACTGTACCCACCTAACAAGCTGGGGGAGAAAATCCACAGGAGATTCCTGGGGTTCGCTGAGCTCTAGATTCTGCTCTGATGCAAAGCAGTAAGGCACAGAGTGATGGAACAAGACTCCCAACGTCCTCACATAGCCCGTATGTACCTGCACATGGGCATGTGCACACACCATATATATATATGTATGTATGTATATATATATATCTCACATGTGCATGTACACACATACACACATAAGTTTAAATTTATTAGTTGACTATGCATTTAAAAAGTATCTATGCCGCTTATTTAACCATGATTCAGATTTTCTTTGTATTTATGCTCTATTTGAAATTAAACACATGCAAAAGACTATGACAATTGTTGAGCCTCCTCAGGGTGACCTGCTTAAGATCCTACAAGATTTGTATCTGCGTCTCTTCCTCTATTACCCTTCTTCTAGCTCTCTTCCTTCCAGCTTCCAAGCGATATGTTCCACACTT